GGGGGGGGGGGGGGGGGGGGGGGGGGGGGGGGGGGGGGGGGGGGGGGGGGGGGAGGAGGCCGAAAGCCCTCTGGAGAGGATGCCGGATGCTAAGAATGCTCTGCACCTTTGCAGTATGCACGCCTCCGATGCTACAGCACCACTACCAGACAAGCAACACCTGCGAAGCATGGGGGCAACCAACGCCCTCCCTTAGGTCGTGTCTCGCCCCTACTCGGTCGGTAGCCATCACCCTTTAGACTCACTCCGTCGGTAGCGAAAACCGTTTGGACTCACCCAACTTGCCGCGAGTGTAGCCGTTTCAACGCCGAATACACGAGCTTTGTCGTCATCCCCTTCCACCCCGGACCAAGCGACAGCAGCCGCGCCCAAACCCTGAACACCCACTTAGTCTGGCCAGTATCCGTAGGCGAGACCAATAGCTCCTCTTCCTTTAGTCCTGTACCCACCAAACTGAAGTAGAAGGTGTGGGGGTCAGTGTGGATCTCCTGCCCAAGGGGCAAGCGGGGTCGGCAAAGCACCATCAGAGGAAGGGATGGTGAGTTGGAAGATGAGGGTGGCTGGGCACATCAGGAAAAGAGGAAGGGATGGTGGTATGTCGGCCACCGCGTTGCGCGTTCGCATCGCAACAATGCTCGAGTCAACTTGACAGCTCCGTTCGAATTTCTGAAAAAGTGCTAAATAGCACACGCGCTCAACATGTGACCATTGTCCATCGAGGTTGCCCGCGAATTTACAACCAACGGCTACCTGCTTCTCTTGACATCCAGACCCACCTGATTTAAGCGATGCGCCGACTGCACCGTCATGTCAAAGGCCGCGTTGTCCGGCTGGGAGTAGATCACGCTCTTGCCCACCACAGCAAGGGCGACGACCTTGAGCCCCTGGCGCCACCCGCGACGCCGCCAGGATAACCCAAAGTGCGACAGCCTGAGACAGGACGAGAGCAACACCGACAAAGGCACCCCGAAAACACAACAAATGGAACAGAAGCTTGAAACAAAGAACTCTTGGGGTACAACAAGGGTGGCCTCCAGAGTGGGCGCGCGAACGTCCGAAGGTGAGCAAGACGCTCACAGAATGGTTTCCGCACTATGCAGATGTTTCATCGCTTTCTTTTCGAAATTTCGTCCGCCGGGGGGAAGGGGGAGGTCACAGTAGTATGTGTCCGGATGTTTCGTCGCGTGCATGCCCGTGTGTGCCCACACAAGGTTATATCGACGACGCCAAGTGCACCACGTTAAACAACTGCAGTCAGCCCACAGCCAACACGCGGCGCTCGTGGTCCTCTGTTGTTGTCTTCACCGTATAATTTTTCACGAAAAATAAAAGTCGTTCCGGTCTCCACTTCTGGGGAGCAGTACACGCACTCAAGGTTTCTGGGAAGCAATAGAGGCACCCAAGCTCTCTTCCTCTGCCTCGCGTATCTCTACCTTGGGTCGAAAAAACGTTTCAGCAGCGGCCAGTCCAGGAGCTCCAGCGCGTGGATGGCCACCGAGAGCAGGTGGCCGTGGGAGCCGAGGCGTACCTCCGGTGCAGTGTCGGCCCTCTCGCCCAAGCTGTACACCAGCAAGGAGCCGTTCAAGGGCGAGTTGCACGTGGTCACGCTCCTGAGGGAAACAAAAAAGAAGTGGGCCACAGGCCGAAGACGCCGGCGCAGTAGTTTGTGTGGCATCCGAGAGCAAGGTGACGGGCAGGCGAAATATTTTCTTGGTCGGGCAGTGAGTAGAGCCGTTGAGTAGAGACGTTGGGCCGGCTGCTGAGGACATCCGTTCGGAAGGAGGGCGCACCAAACTAGTATCGTCGGAAAGCTCATGCTGCCTTGCATCCGCAGCACTTCTGCGCGGGTGCTCTGATTACCGTGGGTCACGCAATTCACATCAAATCAGCAATTCTTAAAAGCAACAGCTGTTCGTGCGTGTGGTTGTCGGTCGACAAGTCGCACACCATGAACACGATCTTTACGTCCGGTTCTGCCGTTTCATTCCTTCTACATACAATATGTCGTGGGCGTTATGGACTAGCGTGTGGCCAATAAAATCCATATTTGCCCTGAGTGCACACGACCGACGACAGCAGTGGTAGCCGTTATTCTCGAAGCCTGAACTGGTAAGACGTCGCACCTTACCCACGCCGCACTCGTTTGGTACTCGCCAGGCTTGGAGAAGAATCCTGATGATGGGGGCCAGCGAGGGGGGTGGCGGGTGGGGGTAGACAAGAATATCGGAAACGCACAACATGTATGCGTGAGGATAGTGCACAGTAGTCTTGCGGCTTAACAGGGTGGGGTATCCCGCGAGTGGGAGAGATTTGGGTAACACTCATAGATCAAGATGGCACCGTAGAACGTAGGAAGTTCATGCACCACGTAATAATGCTTGCCAATGCCTTTCCGCTAGCGGTTCATACTATTACACACCTCGAACTCGTGCCTACGATTGCTTTCACCCCGATTCGCAAATGGCATTGACCTAGTATTTTCATCGGCCTGTGTCGCAACCAATTGATCGATCGATCCAAAGACAGAGACACGGGGCTCGCACCCGTGGCCAGCAGGTGCTGCAATACCCTCGCCGTCTGCCCGCCGTAGCTGTGCCCGATGACGTGGATAGGGTTGTCTTCCCCCCAAGCGGAGAACAACCCGACGTCGTACGTCTCACCGTGGCAGGCGTGCCCGTGAGCACGGGAGTGCTCCTGACCGTAGCACACAGTGCCACCTTTCAGCTCGTAGAAAATCTCGCAGGCCCTGCTCGGTCGATTTTCCAGATGAGCGGCGGGCGCGAGCAGGGGAGGGTGGGTCTCCTTCATTTCTTCAGGCTTTCATTGGCGCGCTGATTGATCGTTGTTGACCAGCGAGTCCTCAATACATCTCATACCGCGTGCGGGAGTGCCGGCAATACCGTGCTGCAATGTACTACACCTAAAACGAAGAGAGCAGTGCCACGAAACTGCTTGATGCTCTTTGATGCTCTTTGATGCTGAAAACAGCTCGTCATAGATTGCTTCAAAGACCGGTTCAGACACAGCACTGCAAAACGGACCGGCAAACAACAAGAATTCCGCTGAGATTTAGAGGCCCACGTGTCTCACGAAAGTTAGGAAACTAGGGTTCAGAAACACAGCTCGGAGGTGGACAATACACCATTGAACTCCACGTAACATCCTGTGGTCGACGACGGAGGCGAAGAAACGAGAAATCGAGGATGGACTCGACGTTTCTCCATTGCCGGCGCCCGCTGCTGCATGCATGTACGTACGTGAAAACGGCAGACAGATAGTCACCCACCTGTCGTGCAGAGATCCCACCGGAGAAGGGCTGACCGTAACGACGCGAAAGCCTTGTGCTTCCAGCGCTGCCGATGGAATCCTAGCAGTAGCAGCAGTGGCATCAGAAAAAGGGGGGGGGGCGCGACACCACATCAAGGGAACAATTACGCCGCAAGCAGGGAACTCGTGGCCCCCCATTTGTGTTTTGTGGAAAACAAACGGACAAGATTTGGTTTTGAATCCATATAGAAGAGTATTTTTTTCCAATTCTTTGAGGTCTAGAAAGAAAGGTGTAGTCTACCCCGTATTGGGTAGTTGGCCTGTGACCACGGTAGGCGTCCGCGTCAGTTGGACCAGTACCGATATTAGAAGCTACTGATCGGAGACCGGAACGGTCTGCCAATGCTGAAAACAACAAGAACACTTTTGCGGAAGTTTGCAAGGGCGCAGACAGGTCGGGAAGTGTCGGTTAAGGTGTAACGTGTATAGGGAGAGAAATGCGGCGTGACTTCGACGATTGTCACATGGATGCCTCGTCGAGGCCAGTCCTGAATAAATCAAATAACTACTGTGTGTTGTGGGAACCGACGGGCTTAACATCTCTGAGGTTGGGAAACTAACAGGGGCTCCTCAACTGACTATAGTTACTGCGGAAAGTCAACCGAGCATTCGGATTGATGCGCACTGTTGTTGTAAGCAAGGGACCCTGTCTCTCTCTTGTCTGGCTGAAGATGCCGGTGCGAGCTGTCGTGTGCTGTGCGAAGACTCCCAGGATATTTCTACGCGATACTCGAGTAGTCTTTTGAATTAGATCACTTGGTTCTTTTTTTCCACCCCTGTCATCTTACTTGCGTGCAATTTTCGCTGCGCCCTCACTAGACTACTTCAAGAATTGCTCAATCTCCACAGTTCGACAGTTCGACATTTACAGGAACGCACTGAGTATGAGGGACGGCGGATACTGGGTCAACTGACGCGGTGCATCGCATTGGTTGCTCTGTAGTGCAGCAGTGCATGTGCTGCTGCATAAGTAGTGCTGTTGCCCTCGGTGGCGACACCCTCCCTTCTCACTGCTGACTGCTGACTGCTGACTCGACACATGTTCGCTCTTGCTGACTTTTCAACAATACGGCTGGCTGTACGCAACTCTTGTGACTCCTTGGAGAATGCCGTCAGAGAAAACGCCGAGAAAAACTGCATGTACTATGGAGTAAGGGATGATGCACGCGCGAGGTCGGTCGTACCATCCGAACCCAACACCCAACGGCGGTTTGGCACTTTCGGCAGGACAAAATAATCACGAGGTCCCAAGGAGGTTTTGGATAAGAGAGACCGGGATGGTTTTTAATGTGAGGACAACAACAACAACAACAACAACAACAACATACATACAACGTAGTATAAGCATAAATTATAGTCTAAAAAAAAGTCTACGCTGATTTCTCGCTCGCTCACCTCCAAAACGAGTACACGCGCCCGTTCAAGTCGCCACCTCCGCACAGGAACCCTCCGATGGCGACTACCACCGGTTTCTGGCCAGCCTGTGGCTCATCCATCCTGCCTCAAGCCTCAGGTGGCACCCAGCTACACCAAGACAACAGACACGTGCAGCTGGGGAGGATCATGTTGGATCCCCGGTACCATAACGCGGTGCCCAGCACGTACGAGACTGTCACTTGATGATTTTTTTTTCTTTTTTTTTCAGAGCTTTAAAAACCGAACAGTTTTTTTTCTTCGGTGCCTGTCATCTTCCAGTGCCCGTTGCACCACCGAAGCACGCTGTCCTCCCGTAGGCTGCACACTGCTTGCTCCACACAGCACCATACGTTGCATGCACTTGTTTTACAGACAGGCCTACAGGTGCGGACAAGGAGGACCGGCTGTACAGAGAAGACGAGGAACACCGCCAGAACGGAGACCGCAAAGTCTGACCCGAGAAAGAGGAGACGGGGGGAGAGGAGACAAAGCGAAGGGCAGAAGATCGAGCCAGCGCGCGCGACCAGGCGCGGGAGAGAGTAGTTGGTCGAGAAACAGGTCGAGAAACCGACAGAAACAGTCAGTGACACAACGAGACAGGAACTTCTCCAAGGATCGATGCACACACCTTCAAGTGCATTGGCTGGCACAAACAGAGGGCGAACCAGGATGGTTGGCAGAGATCATCAACATGCTTGTCTGAGGGGCTTTGAACCTGAGCTCGTGAGACTGGTGTTTGATACTGCCACCGCCGAGCAGTTAGAGGCGTGGCTCCGGCTGTCGTTGGAGCTGGCAGCAGACAACAAGCACCTCGAGCTGATATCAAGACTTGAAAACGCGGGAGCGGTGGGCAGCAGGTTTCACCTAGCCGTGAGGCAAGGGAACGGGATGCTGGTGACCGACACAATCAAGCGTGGGGAGTCACCTAATGCCAGGTGCGTGCACTCCACATATCGTAATTAGAGTCGCGTACGAAAGCTGTACACATGGTTTGAGTCACCATTATGGTCGTAGAGTGGCGTAAGAAAGCTGTGCATTTTGTCTAACTCATTAGTATGGTAACTGACACTACTGTAAAAGTGTACATGTTACCAATGTAACCATAAGTTGCATCACTGCTGTCGATACAACATGCATGTGATACGGTCGGTGGTAAATCTGCAGGGGGTGTGATATCTTGTGTCACCGCACTCACAGAACCCCAATGATGATGATGGGGTGTGATGACTGATGACGTCGCTTTTGTGATGAAGGGCACTCAAAGCAGGAACCCACCTACAGGGTGTGATAAACGCGGTATAGGTTATCAGTAGATTCTCTTGTACGGGCCTCAGTCGTGTTGGATACCGTATCGATTTGTTCGATTTTCGTATCGACTTACCGTAGAACATCGATACACGATTATGAACTTTTCAAGGGTGTGTTCAGTAGAGTACCTACTCAACCTACTCTCGGGTAGATACTCGAGTATCTACTCTACTCACCCTACTATTAGGTTTAGTAGAGGTCTCGATACTCTACTCAACCTACTATTAGGTTTAGTAAAGGTCTCGATACTCTACTCAACCTACTATTAGGTTTAGTAGAGGTCTCGATACTCTACTC